CGAACCACTCAACCACAAATGCTGAGACATGGTCAGATCGTTTTGTTGAAAGGGTGCATGAATTAGAAAGATTAAACAACATTGAAAAGGAATCAAATGTGGAAAAGTGAAAAGGAATCAAATCGTTTTCTTGTATAATCGGACAACTAATTATAAATTTTTTGAAATGCAAAATAGTCACTTTTTATTCTTATGCCTTATTCATGCACTTATGCCTTTTATTTTTATATTATGATGTGCTTCTATATTGAGTTTTTTGTGAATCTTGTTGTGAATTATGATAAAATTCAATATCAATTTGTGAGGCAAAGAACAATAGCAACCAAAATAAATGGTCTTCAATAATAATAATCCATACACATATAATATAACAGAATAAGGCAAGAAAAAACCGAAGGTTTGTTTACCCAGTTCGATCAAACAATCTACTTTGGGGGAGAGAGCAACTCTCAAAATCACTATACTCATAAAGTTGTTACAAGAGATTACAGATGAGTTACAAGAAAGTAGCATTCGCCTTCAGGTTCTCAAGAACAACTCTGAAGGCGCCCAAGAACAACCCTATTTTCTACCCAAGTGTTTCCCTACCTCTCAAACTCTCAATATATGAATCACTCAAACCAAAGGTTTAATCCAAGGTTTTCTTTGTGCATAGCTGAAACCATATGCTATACCTTTAAATCATTGGTCGCCCTTGTTGGTGAAAATTCTACGATTGTCACACACCAACCATATAAGAGATACATATTTATAATAGCAAATATCCAACAAACAAAGCCCAAAATTACATGGATCCATGGACCGAATCGGAAAAGCCCAAAAACACTATTCATCGTACGAACACACTATTCACCATACAGACGTCTCTATTCATCCGTACAGATAACAATATTCACCGTATGGATGTTACTATTCACCGAACAATTTTTTTTCTTTTTTTTTTAGACTTTTCGTCCGACTTTCTAAAACTTCTGATTTTCGTGGTAAATGCAATCTCCAAAATATATTTTCTTTCTCTTCATCAATAAAGGTTTTAAGTCATATTTACAACAATCTCCACCTTGACTTTAAACCGTGTTGATACCAATTTAACAATCAACAGCATTGCTGCTCTCTACCAAGTTGAAACTTTAATCAATAACTTTGATCAAATTCAAGCAACCTTTGAATCTTGATCTCACAACTTGCATCCAGTTGTTCCCAATTACCCTTTTCTGCCTAGGTAATTTAACAAGCCTACAAGTATGAATTTTCAACCATCCTTGACTCCACCTATTTTCAAATGCCTCCCTGAAGGTTTTTCTTCTTTTAGTTTGTAGTCCTTCAGCCACATTAAAAACATAATATCCAAGGCTAGCATAATCGTCCCTTTAAGATGCTACAATAACCCTCCTTACCTTATTTTGAGTCAAATGATAATCAGAGATCTCTGTAACCATTCCCTCACTACTGCTAGGATCCATAGTAGGAAACTCCACCTCAAACTGAGTTTTCTCCATTATAGTTTCTCCCTTGATTTTCACTATTCTTCTTATGAAGAAATTCTTTACCAACCAAGTAAGATGTTTTAACCTCAGCTCTTCCGTAAAAACTCAATAACAACTCAGTGGTAACATGCATTTTTATCCATTGATTTCTGAAAAATTTATTGTACTCCTCTGAAACTTTCTCAAGGCATTCATAACGCCTTAAAACTCAAATCTCATAGCTCTTCCTTGTCATGAAAGCCTCCACTAGTTAACGATAAATGAATAATAACACTTGAACCTTCTAAAATATATAGACCACATATTTTAGACCCTTTAGCAATAATTAATTCTTCATGCGAAATATTTAACATTCCACATTCAACTCTAGTACAATAGCCTAGATAATCAAACATACTTATAGATAACAAAATTCGCTTGAATTCTGGAACATACCTCACATTGTGAATAAGAATTTCACGATCATTAAATATTTTAAATTTGACTGTACCAATACCATGAACCTTGCATGCCTTATTATTACCAAGGCGAACTACTCCACCTTGCACCATCTTCAAAGTTTCAAAGTATTCTATTCTTGGACAGATGTGATAAGAGAAACCTGAGTCAATGACCCAACTATCTTCAGTTTCCAAACTCGATACTACTAGTGCTTCGCCAGCCTCATAAAGTTTCTCACCCAATGCAACTACAACTTGAACATAATCTTCACTGGCCTTTCTTTCAGGACAATCCCTTCACCACTATCTTCTATCTTCAAATCTTTTGACTTTGAAAATTATTTCGATTTCACCGCCGTCTGGACTTCATCCAAAGAAGAAGGGCATCCTTAAAATGCTCAAAGGATCTGGGTAATGAACTCAACAGGAGCAAAACCTTGTCCTCATTATCAATCTTCACTTCAATATTCTCAAGATCATCGATAATCTTGTGAAATTCTATGAGCTGCTCAACTATGGATTTTTTCTCCACCATTCGAAATGAATATAGTTGTTGTTTCAGATATAACATGTGTGCCAAAGACTTTGTCATATACAATGATTTAAGTTTTGTCCACATAGCAACCACAGCTTGCTCCTTGGCGACTTCTCTTAGAGCTTTATCCTCAAGGCACAAGATAATGACACTTCTGGCCTTATCCACCATCTCGCTCTTCTGTACCTGTGTAAGCCCTACAGGCATCAATGTTTCACTCTTCAAAGCATCTATACACTTCTCTTGAATTAAAATTTCTTGCATCTTAATTTTCCACAACCCGAAGTCGTTGCTACTAGAAAATTTCTCGATCTGCCATCTAATAACCATGGTGCTCACTTGTCAACAATATCTCTTTGCTTCACGCTAACCGTACCACTTGTTGTGAATCTTATTGTGAATTACGACAAAATTCAATATCAATTTGTGAGGCAAAGAACAATAACAACCAAAATAAATGGTCTTCAACAATAATAATTCGTACACAGATAATATAACAGAATAAGACAAAAAAACTGAAGGTTTGTTTGCCCAGTTCGATCAAACGATTTACTCTGGGGAAGAGAGCAACTCTCCAATTCACTATACTCAAAAAGTTATTACAAGAGATTACAAATGAGTTACAAGAAAGTAGCATTCGCCTTCAGGTTCTCAAAAACAACCCTGAAGGCGCCCAAGAACAACCTTATTTTCTACCCAAGTGTTTCCCTACCTCTCCAACTCTCAATATATGAATCATTAAAATCCAAGGTGTAATCCAAGGTTTTCTTTGTGCATAGATGAAACCCTATGCTATACCTTTAAATCATTGGTCTCTCTTGTTGGTGAAAATTCTAAGATTGTCACACACCAACCATATAAGAGATGCATATTTGTAATAGCAAATACCCAATAAAAAAAGCCCAAAATCACATGGATCTATGGACCGAACCGAAAAAGCCCGAAAACGCAAAAATACTATTCATCGTACGGACACACTATTCACCGTACAAACGTCACTATTCATCCGTACGGATAACACTATTCACCCGTACAGACGTCACTATTCATGAACGATTTTTCCCCCCGACTTTTCGTCCGATTTTCGTGGTAAATGTAATCTCCAAAATATATTTTCTTTCTCTTCATCAACAAAGGTTTTAAGGCACATTTACAACAGAGTTCTGGTTTAAAAATGTAACTGAGAAAGTTCCGGATATGCATCTACGTAAGGATCTTAATTTTGTAGTTTCAGGGAAAGTTCCAGAGATACACCTCGGAAAACAATAATTAAGGGTTCGTTCCGTGGATATAGCTCTGAAAAAACATTGGCAGAATATGGTTGGTCCATTTTCACCTAGGTTTTCTATAAATTTGGGGTTTCATTTGTTATCATTCACACAAATACAAAAATGTCTCAATTGTTTCAAATCAAGATCTGTTGGTATGTCGCAAGTGTCTCTTTTTCCGACGGCAAAACACCCGGGAGAACGTTCAAACTCATAGATCTCACCCCCTCTCGCCAATATCATAAACGAGATCCAATATCGCCTACTTTATAGCACCTCTTTAAAAAAACGAGATCCAATAGGTGCCACAAGAAATGTTCATTTCAAAATTGATTTCATACTTCTTCATACTACAAAGGCCCACCTCTTATTACTAGTACAATAAAGGTCAAAGTTTCATTCACATGTATCAAAAGTAGATTTGATATGCTCATAGAAAATAGAAAAGGAGTCGTACAAGTCTTACCTTTTTATCCTCATTATCAATATCAACTTCAATAGCTTTTATGTAAGAGACAACACCATTCTGATCACTAGGATGATCATATACTTTCATATTATCTTCTGTGTGTAAATTATGAAAATTATTTTAACAAAATAAAATTATTCTTTCAACACTTATGTAATTCAATGAAAATTCTCTTTCAACAACACAAATTATTTTCTTACGATTTCTGTAATTCAAATTGTATCAACACATTATAGAATTGTATTTTTTTTTAAAAAGCTAAAATTGATAGGATCGAACCAAAATCAACGTGGAACTAGTTGTTCATATTTGATTCCATTGAACACATATATCTGAAAATGTCGTGTCATGTCTAAAAGATATATGCAAGGAATAAAAACATCACAGAGCGAAATAAGAAGCCATGTCAATAATTTGATGATTGAGATTTGAGCGCTATTACTACAGCTACAGAAAATACATCAAATTAAAAAGACGTATGTACATATAAATATTCAAAAAGCAGTTTTTACAATCGAATCATTTATACGTCTAGAGCCAACTCAAGTGATGCCAAAGAAATAGAACAAGAGAGTTGGGTAATTTACCAGTCACAAAAACAAAACAAAAAAAACTCCTAGGTGGGGCCACTACTCAATTGTCTTGAAATGGTTGTAAAATCGCCACAAAACAATATCACTACTCATTATTTTTATGCTAATTATGCCGCAACAATTGCATTTAGTGTCGCAACATCTATACTATACCGACTGAAATCGAAAAAGTCTTTACTCGGTTCCAACTGTTTTTTTAAAACCTTACTCATCTCTTTGTGGATGAATCAAAGTTCCCTCCAAAAGATGTGAGCAAGGCAGAAAGATCATCTCCTCTACCTAGTCCCATGCTTAAACCAAGAAGATCACGGGTCATGGGCTGTCCCGTTGAGCCTATCATTTCATTCCCACATGGAAGTCCAAGCCCAAGGTAATCTGCAACAGGCTCATTCTCTTGCTTTACATGATCATGCCCATTCATCCATTGTACTGTTGTGGTGGTACGATTAATACTGACAGTGTTTTCTTTCAAGCCTAAAGCACGAAGCAAGGATGCATTAGACGAAGATGAACCCACTTGAGCAGCTTTATGGAGTAATGCAGTGGCAGATAATGCAGGTTGTGGAGATACAGTGGTATAGTGAGAAACAGGGTAATCACGGTTGTTGCTGCTGTTGGAGAGATAGAGTGGTGTGAAAAGTGAGAGGGTTGTGGGTTCAGTGACAGAGAAAGGTGTGGGGCAATCTGAGTGAGTCAAACTTGACATGAGAGTGCTGAATGAAGAATAACAGCTTGTAGAAGTGGAAGTCGAAGTGATAGTATTTGAAGATGGTGGTGGTGACAGCCTTGTTGTGTTTTCTGCAATATCTGAATACAATAGAAGAAAAAAAATGATTAATAAAGGAAGAAAAATGTTAAACCGTGTGTTTAAGGCACATGTGAGTTCAATTCATTATAGAAATATTTATTTCTTGACACTGTCCTATTGTATTGTGGGAGAGGAGTAGACTATAGATTAGAGGGACCATAATGTGGGTTGCATTACTACTCATTGACAGAGAAAAACAAAATAAATGCATGCCAAGAGACAAACTATAAACACATGTCAAGTTCAAATCATGTCATTTTCATTTCTCCAAAGTCCATTAAAAAAAGTTAATCACTGTTTTCTCCTTAATGTACTACTTTAATCATAATTTATTCTCTCACATTTATGAAATATGGAACCAAATTTGTCCTTTAAATTAATTAATGCAGCCAATTTTTTTATCGCTAGAAAAAATGGTAATATTTACTAGAAATTTAGACACACAATACCATTTGAATGATACCGTTAAATCTAACAATATAAGCTTTTATAAGTTTTTATAACATGATAGGATATGTGGACAATTTCCTTCAATGTAATCACTACAATTATAAAGTTGGTTCAATAGACTCTTTAAAATAGATCCCTAAATTAGAGAAAATTATATTCAAGCCCTTGAATTTAAATTAAGTCTTCTGGTAATAGAATACTAGTCTTTTTGTTTTGTCAACTTGTAGTAGAATAATGATTAGTGTAGGTACTTAACAAAAATACTTTTTAATTAAAAAACCTAATTAAAGATCTCCAATAATTTACACTTTCATTTCACAAATTTGTCAAATCGATCCTATTTTCAGGACAAAAACAGTGTTGATTTATTTACTATTTAAAAGCATGCAAATTGAATGTGAATGTGCAAATTTACCAAAATAATACACTTTGATATACTACAAAACAAAAGTACAAAACTCAAATAGGAAATTAATTAGTAAATTCTACCTGAGCTCTGAATAGACGACATAGTAGGAGACACCGCAGATATCGTAGACGGAGTCACCGGAGCCGTCGCCGGAGAAGAAACCACTGCAGATATCATAGACGGAGTCACCGGAGCCGTTGCCGGAGAAGAAACCACCACATCAACAACATTATTACCTCCTTTGCCACTCCCATCCGCCACTACATCACAGAACGCTCTGTGCGTAATGAAACTATCTCTCCTATAATCAACAATATTTATCAATAACATTAACAAATAAATTAATAAATAATTAGAGAAATCAGAGAAATTACAGAAAATAACCTAGAGAACAAAGTGCCGCAATCACATTTATACTCTCTACTTCCACAACTCTTCATATGCGCTTTCCAATCACACTTCACAGCGTAATTTTTCGAACAACGTTCACATTTCCACTTCTTCTCACCGTGCTTTCTACTAAAGTGCTTTTTCACGCCGGTGAGGTCACCTAACGCTCTTGACGGATTGTGATGAACACAGGAAGGTTCCGGACAAACATACACTTTCTTGCGATTTTCGTTGCTTCCTCGCTGCTGGAGCTTCCACGGCATGTTATGGCCTCGCCGGTGAAGTTGCAGATTCTGCTCCCGTTGGAATCCTTTGTTGCAGATCTCGCAAACGAAACGATTCGTCGCTAATAAAGTGTTCGGAGATAAAGCGATTACTTCAGCATCTGGATCTGAAAACGGAAACAAACACCACAACGACATAAATTAATACTTGAAAGAAGAATAATAATAAATAAATTAAATTAAAGTAACTGAGAATATATAATAATATATATTTAATTTAACTGATGATAATGATTATGGATTTTTTTATATACACCTGGCATTCCAGGGAGGTTTCGCTTCTTTTTTGGCGGTGGCGATGTGGTGGAAAGTGGTGGCATTGGTGGAGGATTTTTCTGAGATTCTTCCATCGTATAAGCTGAATCAATTCAATGAAGTTATTGTTATGAACACATTGAAGGTTTGGTTTTATTGAAAATAAATGATTTAGTTTTGGTAATGAACCGGTGTAGTTGTTGTGTAGAGAGTGTTTCCGGTGGGATGGTGAATCGGCGGTAAAAGTTTTCGGCGGTGGTGGTGTGTGCACACGACGAGGCGGCGGAAAAATTTGTACATGAAAGAGAAACAGCGTAATTATTTATCTATTTTTCTTGTTTTTAATGAGTATGATATGATGTGTGTATTCGAAAAATAGAGAGTAGAATAAAGTGGAGGTAGTTAACCATGGTTGAGTCAGGAAAGGGAGAGAGAAGGTTTTATATCAGTTTGGATTTACTCCACTCAAACTAGACAGAGTGTTATTTTCTAACAGATTAATTGCTACGGTGTAAAACTCCATTCTACTGAGTGCGATCTTTTTTATATAGTAGTTTGGAATATTTTGTTATATCCTTTTCCTCAATCACTTCGGGGATTTTATTATTGGTTTCGCTGAGAGCATCGAGCATATATTTTTTTCTTTTTTAATTACAATTGTTATCAATTGTTTGGATTTTGTGATTCAGTAGTGCGAAATGGATTGCTCTATGGTCATCAAAGTCTATTCCAATTTTTTTTTTTTTTATTGTAAGTTTACAAACACTTGGATTAATCTTTTACAAAAATTTATTAATCTCATATTTTTAGAGAAGGAAATTTTCACGCTGATTATCTTATAGATATAGTTCTTAGCACAAATTCATCCATAGTTTTTATTCTACTTCTTTGAGAATTCAGAATGATTTTATAAAAAATAGGTTAGACATATTTTTCTTTAGATTTATCTTTTTTTTGATGGGGTTAACTTGATCCCCTTTTATATCTTTGGTTGTACCTTTTTCTTTTATTAATATTGATCTTATTAAAAGAAAACCTCTTGTGATAAACTTTGATATGATCAAAACAAATTTGACATTCATAGTTGTATTATTGATATAATTAATATTATTCTCTTCGTTCTACAATGAGTGTTGCATTTGCAATAATAGAGTGTCTATAAATAAATGATTCTTTTCAATTTACCATTGTTTAACGTGGTTTTTGGTAAACAATTATAAGTTTTAATTCACATATAAGATTAAATTCGGAAAAATCCTACTACATATTGTGTAGAAACGATTAGAGAAAATGTGTTCATATTTAATAACTTAGTGTTTGAATGTAAAACAATGTGATGAAAATTTCAGAAAGTACAAATGCAGAATTGTTTAAATGTTAAGGTAAATGAAAAGGAAATGATAAAAGCATACGGATGAAATGTTTAAGCTAAAAATGAGATGTAGATTCATACATTTTCTCACAAATTTGCTATCTTTGTAGCACAGATGTTTGAACTCTATAGAGACTAATAATGAAAATTATAAACCCTTGTTACAGAGATTAACTCGACTTATATACATATACATCAATAATCGTCGACAACGATTAATTCTCCAATGCTCGACACGTACATTGTTACATGGCCTTATATCCTCTGTATTGCTACCATGTGTCTTCAGTCTTTAAACTGTTGTAAAATGACCATTTCTGTCGAGAAACATTCTCAAGTCCTTCGACTTCCTCTGTCAAGAATTCCTAGTCAAATCTTATAATCCTGGGGTCGAACCATGTTTCAGTTACTTATGTCTAGCCAATGTATTTATCTCACACCATTTTCCTGCCGAATATGTCAAATCACTACAAACCTTTTTTAGATTCTAAATATATTTTGAAGAGAGAGTGATCTTAATCATGTGGATGTGCTATTGAGATTCTTCCAAACCAAGCTTAATGGGTATTTGTGTAGCTTGATTCAAAAATCACAAGCTAACAGATGCCCCAGAAAATGTCACTTTCGGTCATGTTTGTAATATGGAAAAAAGATGGCATTTTAAGCACACTTTCGAAATTGTTCAAAGCAGTCTGTGTATGTCATAGTCATCATGACCACGGAAGGTGGAGAAACACACAAGAAAGGGGATTTGAATTGGTTTTTACAAAAGTAAACTTTTACGACCTTTTACACAAGTTGTCAAGAGAATGAAGATAAAGAGACACAAGTATTTTTATCCTGGTTCACTGTTAATAAAGTTACTCCAGTCCACCCGTCAAGGTGATTTCGTCTTCAAAAAAGACTTAATCCACTAATCTTGAAAGATTACAACAAGTTCGTCTAAGTGTTTAGAAAAACACCTTAGCCCTCTCAAGTCTACAAACTAACACTTAGTCACTTGAGAAAAAATAACTTCAAAGAAGATATAGAAAGATGTTTACAATAATGCTTCGGTAAAGAAAATGAAAAAATATTAAGAGCAAGGTTTTTACACAAATATGAGCAGCAACTCTTGTGTATGAGAAATATATTTTAGACTGTGTTTATTTCTCTTTTTTTTGGTGTTGATCGTTTTGTGTTGCAAGAAAGAGTGATCTCTTTATATAGCTGGATGTCTGAACCTTGATGGATATAAGCGTAACTATTCAAGCCAACTGTTGCAACAGTAACATTGGACCCGTGAGAGATAATAGTAGCAAAGTCTCACCATATTCCATACAGCAGTACTGACTGAAAATCAGTTTATGTCAATATAGGGATGTCTACATGTACGAATATTTTCATGATATGTTTATGTCTTGTCAATATCTTATGATCAACTTTACCTTATAAGACCAAAGGATAAAATATTGCGTGATATCAGAGTCTTCAGTGTCTTTAAAATCTTTAGAAGTGTTGTCTTAAGAATCTTTAGAACATGTTCGTCAGAGTCTAGTCTTCAGAACAGTTTATCAGAGCTGGAAGCGAAGCTTTTTCTTAAAAGCACATATCTTTCTTTATCTTCAAAGGCATTCAACATTCATCAGAAATGTTGATATTTCTTTAAAAAAGCACGAAGTAGATTACTTGAGGCATGCAAGAGATTCTGATTTATAATACTTAAAAGTTATCCAAAATCAGTTTTCACTAAACAACTGCATACTTTAAGAAATTCATTAGAGTACAAAATTGTTACATAAAAATTATATGTATTGTTATCATCAAAACTAGAGATTATATGCGAAACCAAAATCTTGTCCTAACAATACCACTCAGCCATCACGTCAGCTTACATGCATGCACCCACCATCATGGTTCCAACTTCCAAAGCCATCATGGGACACAAAATCAACCACTTTAAAAGGAAATCACTTAATTGATTTCAATCCAAAATTTAAAATGTTAGTTGGTTTCTAGACAGCAACTGAAAAGTTTTCTTCCACAACTATATACACACACTCTCATTTCTTCATTTTTGCTTTTCGCAATTTCTTCTTCTCTAAACCTTAAAAGTTTTCATTTTTCTGCAAACTTTCATTCTGTTATTCTATTTGAACTTTAGAACAATGTTTTTTTCTAGCATGAAGAAACAACTTCCTTTTTCATTGGTTGTTGATGTTATTGTTAATACTCTCTCTAGCGATTGCATCTATATGCCTGAGCCACCAATGCAAAAATAAAAAACCTTCATCTGAGTTTCTCAGGTATTTATCTCTTTTTATATCTCAAGTAATGTTCATGTGTTTTTGGGTCCATTTCCCAGATCCTCAAAACATCAAAATGAAGAAAGAGTTTGCCAACAGGCTGAATAACAAAGTGCTACCATGTCCCAGCAATGAACCTTATTCACTCAATCTCAGAGTCAAATTAATGAGCTAGAGGAACAGGATAAAAGGGATAAGGATCAGGCGGCAATTTGCAATGCAAACATTTCAAGCTGGATAAAATAAGTGGAAAAGCTACAACTAAAGATTGAAGAAGAAAGACGAAAGAAAATTGAAACCAAAACCTCAAGGTTAACCCCTATTGACAAAAGACTGGTCCAGGAAGCCAATGTTGGTCTCCAATATGTTGATATTGCTTATGTGCTAAATGAGGAAATGCAAAAAACAAAGTCAAAAGATTCCATGAATGACAACATAATCAGACTTGCAAAGAAATGCCTTGAGAAAAATAAGGCTGACTTTCCATTTTGAATTTTCGACTTCTTGTTTTGTTTTTATATGCATGTACTAATGACAGTTTTACATTTCGGCAACACTTAATTTCAACTCCATTTTAGGATACTATTTCTTTACGTATTACTCTTAAAATATTCAAACTTCTTGCAGCATACGCTTATACTTTTTTAAATACTTACCATTTATTCTCAGAGTTCAACCTTCAGGAGTCAACTCTATAATCTCATAAGAATTATTTGAAAACAACTAAATGATTCAAAATGGGTCTTTCCAAATTAGTGAGCATTTACCTAAAGTTCTATCTTTTTGATCCATAGGTAAAATAACTTTCTAGATGTAATCACTAACTACAAAAGTTTTATACTTAACTTTCTTATTATAGGTCTTAACTATTCACTACGTTTAAGGCAACTAACCTTTAATCATCTAAATCAACTCATTCGTCCAACATTATATTCCAATCATGGTCATATGGAATTTCAACTTGCCTTTGAATTCTAGTTGACTGTAAATATATCTCGACAGGCAGGACTGCATTATGACCAAATGTAATCGAAATGAAGTGCAATTAGTTTTCTCTTTAGGGGAATTTCGAAAAACCCACAATATTTTTTCTAAAGTCTTATGTCAATTCCTTGGCTTTGGACCCACATGTCTTTTAATCAGGTCTATTATAATTTTTTGGATCCTTCTGAAGGTGAGAGAAACACAAGAAAAGGGGGTTAAATTGTGTTGACTATTTCTTTCTTTTTAAAGCTCTTGTCAGATTATAAACACAAAGTATATAATCTAAATCATAGGTAAGAGGTAGGCAGCATATAAATAAAGCAATAAAGAAGAGAGACACACAAAGTTATTCTGGTTCCTCTAACAAACCAAGAGTAATCCAGTCTCATTGTACTTACAAGAGATTTTCACTATAATCACACAAGATTACAATTTTATCAAGCACACAAGCAAG